CCCCAAAACCCCAAAACCCCAAAACCCCAAAACCCCATTCTTGAGAGCGGATATTGAAAACTATATATTTTGGATCTCCTCTTTAAACTCGAAGTAACGTTTGTATTGCTCTTTGGGGTTGATCGACAATTGCACCCCTCTGGATTTTTCAGAGTTGTTACTTTTGGGGATGAAATTCTTAATCCATTCAGGATACCAGATCATTAAGTCTATCTCTTCTGAATCTTTTGGCTGAGCTGTGTGGAGATCATCTTCAAGTTTGGAAAGACTGAAGAGACCAATTCCAATGTTGTTTTTATGGCCAACTATTTTACCGACCTTTCTTCCCACTGTATTTCGAATTACCTCCCCACGAAGTTTGTTATCTTCTAATTCGAAATTTAAGTTGATATTACTGATAGGATCAAAGTGGTCCTTTTTCAGACTTAGTGTCGCATCATCTGGGATTATAAACGGAAGAACTACTTTTCTCAGAACTCCAGTTTGAAACGTTCTCTGGGTTAGCTCATGGCCTAGGTAGCACCCTTTGTTGAAATCGATAGAGTTCAGTAAATGCATGTGGTAATTGAGGGGCAATTGGTTCTCTAACTCTTCAGTACCTTCAGCAATTCCGTTTATATATCTCATATGTGTGTAAAGCTTGTGTTGATCAAGATCAATGGCAGAATATTGTTCCAAGAATTTAGTTGGGGAATACATCCTCATTCCTAACGATGGCTGTCTTGGATCCTGGATAAATAAGGTCTCTGTAAATAGCCCTCCTGGGTACTGAGGAAGCTCAACTCTGGGGATCTCATCCTGGAGCTCATGAACAACTTTTCCTTCATTGAACCCGAGAGTTTGACGTGTATTAAGAGCCACAACTGAAAGAATATCGGGATCTATTTCCTTAAATGTGACATCTTTTCTCAGCGAGTACATTCTGAAGTACTTCATAAGCTTTGAATTACTTTGACTCTTATGTACATCTATCCAGTATTCTGAGCTGTTTCCGTAATTTCCAGGAATGAAGGGCTTGACAATAAACATATCCGTAAAAATCCTCCCTTTGGGGTTGAGAATCAAGGTATAAATACACCTCAGATCAGTGTCTCTCTGGAATCTGTGGATATCAGCAGTCACTGAATTCTGTAGGAATTCAGTAGCATCTTGGCCACTGACAGAGATTATCTTCCGATCTTTTAGGAGTGTTGTGAATGTTGACATTTTGAACTCCTCAGCTGCATCTTTGATTGTAGATTCGTCTTTCCAGTCTACTTGTTTCTTGCCTTTTAATTTATTTGTTAAATGGTGTAAAGGATACGTAATTGCTTGTTTGAAACACTCCAAGTTGGATAATAGAAATAAAGAGTATTGAGCATAAAGCAAAATCTCTAAGTAAATTAAGTATAATCTTTAGTGGAAGATGATTTCTAAAATCTTAATTTTGTAAAGAAGGTAGGAGTATTAACAAGTTTGCTTTGTCTGCTTTAGCCTAACTATACAATAAAAATCCAGAAATTCAATCACGAGGTCTGCTAAATACCAACTACTCACCTAAAGCGATTTCTAACCCTGAGATAGGTCATACTAGTTCCTAAAGATCCTATCTAGCAGGTTTTAGCAGTCAGTTTTCTATTTCTAGTGATTTAATCTTACCTTTCAGTTCTTCTTCAGTAAAACCTTCCAGATCATATACTTCATTATCCTTCTTCGTTCAGAAGGGTCTGAGAAGGCTACCAGTCAGGCTTCGGAGAGAAAGAGGTCTTAGTGAAGGAAGTCTAGAAATCATGGCTTAGAAATATTTATAATAAGCTATCTTAAGGAATTTTGGGGTTTTGGGGTTTTGGGGTTTTGGGGG